AGCGCCATTTGAAACAAAGTTGCTCAAATTTAACCACAAATAAGCGCCACCATGACATGAAAGTGTAACAAAGTGGCGCCTAATTGAAGACAAATACGGTATGTGGATATGTACAAGTACGCAGATGATAACATTGTTTTTCATTGATTTGTTGAGAAACTGAATGATATTTATTGATCAAATTCCTTATTGAATTATTTCAATGTCACAAAAGTTATAAAATCATTTTTCACTATGTTACTAATACCAAAGTTATATTAATAACTGGTTCTACTAGAACCTGTGTAATTATTAATACTATGAACTTTGTTTATTTTTTTTACGTCTTTCCTGCTTCTTTTCATTTTGTCATCGTAGGGATCTTCTGGCAGCGGCCCAAACAGGTAGTGGCAAAACGTTAGCATTTCTAATCCCCTGTATTGAACTCTTACACAAATTGAAATTTATGCCGCGGAACGGTACTGGCGTAATAATCATATCGCCGACAAGGGAATTGTCTATGCAGACGTACGGCGTGCTGAGAGAAGTGTTAAAATACCATTACCATACATTTGGTTTGATTATGGGAGGAGCGAACCGAGCTGAAGAGTCAAAGAAATTAGGCAAAGGTGTTAATATTGTTGTAGCAACACCGGGACGATTATTGGATCATTTACAGGTAAATTAATACAAGAATTGAAGTCGTAATGAAACGCCATCCAGCATTCTCTTCTATTGTCCGTTTCATTTCGTGTCAACTACTAACAAATATTTTAAAAAAATTTCGCTTCTAATTAATTTTTGCTATTTTTGCTGAAAGAATGATTCAGTGAAAATAAAATCCAGCAAATATACCTTTTTCCCTATATTTTACATTTCAACTTATCAAAAATCAGTGAAATTACTAAATTCCATACAAAACACCCGAAAATTTTCTTCAGCGAAAATTAATTCCAGATACAATAAAGTATATTACAGTACTAGCCAATGTACTAAAATAGTTTTACCAAGGATAGCGACGATATTGTTGTAAAAAGTATTATGAAGATCCTTAGATGAAACTGTATTTCTGTTTATTGATTTTAAACGAATTGAAGCCAAAATGCAAAACACATGGTTTTGATCATTTGAGATGTTAATTGCACTCAGTAAATCTCCATGGCTAAATAGTACTAAAATTACTGTAGATTTTAGTTTAAATTTGACTACTTGTACTGAACTTGTTCTAAGAAATTTTGTTTACATAACAATAATGTAAACAGCTTAATTTTCGTTGATAGAAATTTTTTTGATTTGATTTTATGCCACTCATGAAGACAAATTTACTCAAAAGTTGCGTTGTATGATCTTAGAAATATTTTCACTGCTACAAAATTTGACAATTTTCAAAACTCACAAAACTTTCAAAATTTGTCCTAGTACTCTTCATGTTACAAAGAAGAATGATGGTGAAACAAACAAATATTTATTATGAAACTATAAAATATTAATTTGATTTTTCCTTCTTTCAGAATTCACCTCAATTTATGTACAAAAATCTACAATGTTTGGTGATAGACGAAGCTGATAGGATATTGGAAGTGGGTTTTGAAGAGGAAATGAAACAGATTATGAAATTATTACCAAGTAAGTAGATGTTTACCCTTATTCCACATTTTTTTGAACAACACGTAATAATCCATGTCAGTATTTCCTTGATGGTGGAGTAAAAAATTACATCAGCTTCAAAAACGTAAAACTCACATAAAACACACTTTTTTTGTATCACTACCAAAAAACTGAGACGAACACTAATCATTTCGTTCACAGACTGGCTAATATGCATAAACATTTTTTGAAATTTGGGTTTGTTTTGTGTTTTGTGATCGTTGTGAAATTTGCGCGACTTCTACAATCTACATCACATATTACGCATTTGAATACCATCATCTTAAAATATTCTGAATCATACTGTGCTTGGAAATTTTTAGTCCCCGTTCGGACGCAGTCCGAAAACGGGGACTTATGTTTTGCCCTGTGTGCGTCCGTGCGTCCGTGCGTCCGTGATCACCTGTATCTCAAACATGCATGGACCGATTAAGTTCAAACTTCACTCATACATCACACCTTATATGGGACATATGCACATGCATTTTTTTCATGATCCGATTAACGATAGCCGAATAGCGGCCATTTTAAGGCCGAAAATGCATCAAAATCGCACATTTTCACCATTCCGGACCCGGATCTCAGTTATGCATGGACGGATTTTGTTCAAATTTGGTACATACATTAAACATAATAGGACCTTGATGCACGTCATTTTTTTTTTTGGATCGGGTTCGAAATGGCCGACTGGCGGCCATTTTGTTTTAAAGAATTCAGTTCTGGATCCGTATCTGAGACATGCTTGGATTGATCGAGTTCAAACTTCACACACACAAGGTACATCATGTCACAAATATGTATGTGCATTTGTTTCATGATCTCATTAACGATAGCCAAATGGCGGCCGCTTTAA